TCAAATTAAATTTTGTAACTCACTATTTATATTATTGCTTTATTTGTTTATATTATATAGTTGATAGTTTAATTTTAGTAAATTTTTACCACCATATGTCACTTTTTAAAACATGAAAGTGTATAGAAGTAATTATTTAACAACAAATTATGTTTTATACTCATATTACAATAAATTAGATATTACTGTAGTTTTAAAGCGTGTACAACAAGTTAGATATGTTTGTTATTTTTTCAAAATAATTATTTTTTTAGTTATTTTAACCAAATACACATGTATATTTGTTTAGTTAATAAATTATTGCTTTTTATGTTGTATAATGTTGTTTAAGTATATTCCTTATAATTTTTATTTGTGCCAAGTTATATATTGTACAGAGGATATTAAACTATGTCTAGATTAAAAAGAAATTTGGAAAAACTTACTGAAGAAAATAAAAAGCTAAATGAGAGAAATGCTGAGTATAAAAATATTATTTTTCTTCAAAGAGAAAAGATTAAATGGTTTGAAGACTTTGTGAATTTAGAAGAACAGCGATTTGAAAATCGATTTGGTAATATTTTATCAACAATATTCACGCCCACCCAAATCCAGTTACTATTGCATCCAAAAAAAAACAGTTCCCAAGTGGACTACTGAAGATATATGTTCAGCAATCACTTTAAGAAGTATATCTCCCAAAATGTACCGCTTCTTAAGAACAAAGAAACCCATGCCCTTACCAGGTTAATACAAAATAATGTAGAACCATTTAATAATACTTTTAAACAAATTTTTTAACATACATTTTAATTTCTTAAGCTTTGTCAACGCTTCGAACATGGGCATCAACATGTTCCATTAGTCCTGGGTTATTAACACATGTAATTTCTCTCATGAAATCAAAAGGTAAAATCAAAAAAAAAATACTTGCAATTCAAATATAAAGAAATTATTTATTAATAATTTATACAATAAAATGTTTATCAAAGGTGAATTAATGAGTCCGATTGACAAACTATGTATTATAAGTTTTGATGAAACATATATCTCTAGTAGGATTTGTTTTGACAAGCAGAATGAACAAGTTTTAGGCCCATTTAAATGTGTACAGACTGTTGTTGCTCGAGGTACTGACAAAAAAAAATCCTACTTTGATAATGTTTTTTTTAAGACTATGATAATTAATTGTCTATTATATATTATAAATTATTTTTTAAAGGTCTTGTTAGTAATTGGAAACAACCAATTTACTATAACTTTGATACGGCCATGACAAAAGACCTTTTGTTAAATATCATAAAAGATTTGTACAATGTTGGATATGAAACAATTGCTATGGTAAATGATATGGGGAAAAAAAAAAAGTGTTTATAGAGAGATTTAAACATTTTAATAGAGAAAACTTCATTTGAGCATCCGTGTAGTAAAAGACAGATCCATGTATTTGCAGATGTACCACACCTTGTAAAGCTGACAAGAAATCATTTACTTGATAAGTAAGTATTCATTGTTTTCAACTTATGTTTTTATGACTAGTAGTCCAATCTTTATAGAGGATTTATTCTACCAAATGGCACATTTGTTGGAAAGAATATATTTCAGGAGCTTATTAATTTAGATTCAAAACATGACTATAGATTAGCGCATAAGATTTCTGGAAGGCATATTTTAGTAAATGGACCAGGGCGTATGAATGTCAGGCTGGCAGTATAGTTGCTTTCTAATTCGGTATCAAAAGCAATCGCCTATTATGGTGAAAAAAATATATAGAAAAGTACAATTGGAAAAATGCAAGTTGAAATAACAATAAATAAAATGTTAACTACAATTAATATGAATTAAAAGTTCTTAATATCCACATAATATATTTACAAAACAGGCAGCTGAAATGATATCATTATTTAATAAATGGTTTGACTTGTTCAATACAAATCAAAAATTTGACAAAGGTGTGGAAAGCTATGGCTTGAATTTGAACAGTCAAAATTATATCCTAGATGAAATGAGTAGTTTCATACAAAACATGAGGGTACATAATTTTAAATCTGGAGGAAAAGAAAAAAACATGTTACCTTTCCAGAAAGGTAAAATTGACTTTTAACCTAACGATTATTGATACATTAATATATTATATGGTTTCTTTTAATAAAGGAATTTTAATATGCAATTTGTCTTTGAAAAATGTATTCCTCGATTTACAAAAATATCGCGGGCTTGATTACATATTAACTAGAAAATTGAATCAAGACGTTTTGGAACATCTATTTAGTTTTTTTAAATGGATGAGCGGAAGTGCAAGTGGTAGCATAACAGCACTAGACTTTAAATACTGGTATTAAATTTCGATAACTTAGAACATTAGTGGTTATAATGTAATTTATGTATAGCTAATAAAAATTAAACATAATTCTTTAGTCTAAGGTGGTATATACTTGGTAAACATTCCGATGTTATATTTACCAATAACACCAATGTAGAAGAAAGCTCAGAATCTAATTTACTAGAATTAGATGATTGCCAAACCCTCACACAGGAGATGATACAAAGTTCTATATTGAATGAAGACACACAAGATACAGCTAAAATTCAATACAGCGAAGGTGTAGTAGATATGGTAGTTCCGCAACCGCTTCATGATCTTCTACAACAGTTTGAGGTAAATATAAATAAAAACATATTAAACGTTGTAATGCATATTTTAAAAAGTAAGATTTTTAAAAATACCTGCTGATTATTATTTAAGATGGAAGTTGAAGAGCCATTTGACCAGATAGAAGCAGAGATCGCACAGTATGTAGCTGGATATGTTGCAAGTCGATTTTCTACCAGGTATCCCGAATTAGTTGGGAGTCCTAAGTCACCGAAAAATCCAAATTGGATAGACTTTGTTAGTAAAGGAAATCTTAAGACTCCATCCGATAATCTTTTCCAAGCAGAACAAATAATGGAAAAATATTTCAAAAACTTGCATGGAGACGGTCTGTCAAATGAAAAACAAATATTTAAAAATCTTACCAATACACTGACACCACACATTGAACATCTTAATATCCCAACAGAGGTTGTTCAGTGTTTAGTCCGAACTCGTACATACATTCGCCTCAACAATTTAAATAGACAAATCATAGACCAACAATTTCAAATAAGAGATAAAAAAAAAATTAAAAAATTAATAAAATGATACAATTTGTATGTACTACCTATATTATTTACAAATAAAAATTACAAATATAAGAATGAATAATAATATATTAATATGAATGTATTACCTACTATCATTTCACCATTCCATGTGACCAGTAACTTAACTACCTGTCTATTTAGTTTTATTTTTAAAAAACAAATATATAAAATTAAATAAAAATTCCCATATTTCAAAAAATCAGAAATTATTTTTCAGATCTCAGAACGACGTCGAACGTATTTACAATAAATTCAAGATTATTATTTATTAGAATTTAGAAACTAACTAACTAACTAACCTCGTTTAAAAATTACATGATATTATGATAAGAGAAAAATTGATAATAGGCGCAAGCCGACCGCCATGTTATGCGTATCAAATATATTGCTGACATACTTTTTTTTTTTTGTCATGACTGCGACGACAGCTGTCTATAGTGTACCAATGGAAAGGAAAACGCCGGCTATAGCGAACCCGTGGCGTAAAAAATGAAGCACCGCTCCGTTTCCCCAGCCAGTTGGCCATGTCCCATTGATTCCTTATAGCGCGACCAATCGCGTACCTTCGCGGCGGCGGCGGTCGGTTCTAAAACGTTTTTCGTTATCACCTCTTTTCTTATCATTACGCCGATTTTTGAAATTTTCGGAAAATTAGCTGTTTTTACTCGATTTTGTTTTCGCCCTTTTTTATACTCGAATTTATCTCTCGAAGCCGCCGGTGTCCGGTTTATATTCGTGCGCCGTCCGAAGCGGTCGCGATGTCGATCGAAAAATACACTCCCGGCCGGACTTTTTGCCGATTTTTCCGTTTTCTCCCACCGTTTCGTCTATTCGCACGCTGTTTGTGCCCGAATCGTGTAATCGACGTCTTTTTAAAGCCGTTTATATGCGCTTTTCCCCCGAAATCGGTTTGTTCGCCTCGCAATCGCGTTTAGAAATTACGCCGGCGACCGACCGACCGTACGCGTATATATACGTGTATAAGATGCACGGCTTAAGTGTTGATGTTTTGACCGTATTCCGTATCTCAAATTGTGTCCGAGTAGGTTAGGCATTAGGTAGGAAACACGTAGGTCCCGGGTTCGAATTCGTCGCACGCTGCCCGGGCGTCGAAACCGTCAATGCCATAAGGTTTACACGGCCGCCCGAAACCCGACTTTTTTTGCATTTTTTTTCACGTTATTTTTCATATAAATTAAATAATAATATAATAATACAGGAACATATAGTACATTATTATTATTTAAAGTCATTGTCATTTTATATCACACAATAAATAGGTACCTACATATTATATTTGTTTTATTAGGAATTATTATAATTGCATATTTTTTAAAATTTCCATGATTGTTATATAAATATAGTTTGTATTTTATTTCGGTTTGCCTACCTAGGTGGCTAACTTGAAAGTTAATCGATTTTGACTTGAGATGACTGACTTGCTAGACACTCCAACACGGTTTTCGACTTTACACTTTTTACATAAAAAAGGCACCGGACATGCGAAGGCACATACCACTCTATGTGATATACCTACTATATATAGGTGATAGACGAATTGCTCATTTTAGTTTTGTCTTAACCTTCAGTAGGTCGCGCGGTTTATGAGTACCTATTCCGTCGCGCGGGGTAAAAATTTTCCTTGAGTAAACATAATATACTTTTCTAACATTTATTTATTTGAAATTAAATTTTTATTGTATATAACAAAAAAAGAATACGAAATATAATTAATACTTTTAATTTTACATTTTTTTTTTTTTTACTTATTAGACAAATAAATGATAGGTATAAATATTTTAAACTAATTTAAGAATTATTAACATTATTATTTTTTACATCTCACTGAAACACTCTGGACATACTTCTACTAAGTGGTCTCTGCATATAAGTTTTGCACAGTTAGTGCATACTTTTGTAGTTTTTCTGTCACGTTGGCGGTCACAAAATTGACATCTTCCTGACGCTCTTACCCGTTGCTCACCTACTTGTAATGTTGGTTTGTAACCATAAATATTTAGTCGCGTTTTAATATTTTTTGGAAGTGAAAGTATTGTTGCACGATATTGTAACTGTTCATCCATTAGCTGTTTTGCTAATATTTTTAAAAATTAAAGACGAGTGTATTTAGCTTGACTGTTTTCGTGATATATAACTTGAGCATTTACCGCACCGATATTCAAAATTGAATAAAATACTGTAAGTGACCATCTATTACTCCGTCTTGCTACTGTTTAGTTTTCTGTCATCCTGTCCATATTATCAACTGCACCTTTTGTGGCATTATAAAATGTTATAATTTCTGGTTTTTTTGCTAAGCCTGAACTTTCATCTATAGTTTTACTACTATGCATTGTTGACAAAACTAGTACAATTTTATTTTTTTTCGGCATATATGATACTATTGACATGTTGTTCTGAAATCCGAATTTTTAGTAACAAGAAATTCTTTTGGAATCTCTCTTTTATTTTTCTTTATTGTAGCTACTAATGTAAGATTATGATTTTTCAAAAGTTCTTCAGCTAATGATACACTCGCAAACCAATTATCTGCCGTTATATTTCTACCAGTTTTAGATATTGGAGACACTAACCGTTTTACTACTTCACTTGCAGAATTGTCGATTGAAAATGGGCCATCTGGCTGCTTACCTGCATAAATTTCTAAATTACTAGTATAATATGTAACATTGTCACACAACGCGAAAATTTTAATGCCGTACTTGGCTGGCTTGTTAGGGATGTACTGCCGAAATGAGCATCGACCACGAAATGATTGTAGCTTTTCATCAACACATGCGTATTCTGATATTGAATAATATGATTTCTTACAGTTACTGACAAAATTTTCAAAAATCCACCGAATATGTGTAATCTTATCTATTTCTTTTCTTTGAGTACGCCCACGAATATCATCAAACCTTATACATCGTAATAAAAATCGAAATCGTCTTTCTGACATTACGCAAGCAAATAGATCTGCTCCGGTTCCATCACTTTGCCACAAATCTTCCGAACTTCTATGAGAACATTTCATAGCCCCTACCAAAGAAAAAAAAATGTAAAATAAGATAACTGCGGAATAATAAAGCAATTTGTATGTATATTTTTATATTTCAGTATAATATATTTATATCTCATTTTTCCGAATGGTGGTATGTATACAACGACAAATCGTAAGATTATTGAAAATATCAATTATTATTTTTATCATTCTATTTTTACCGTTTACATAAATCTAATAATAATATATTATATGGCAGGCCAAAAATAATGTTACTCACCCGTCATGTATAAAATTCCAATCAATGCTTTTATTTCTTTGTAGTCGGTATCCGATGCATCACGTTCGCGACTATAACTTGCACGTGCCTTTGATATATATATATTGGTGCAATTTACTATTGTATCTAACATGGGTTTTGTAAAAAACACTTGCCAGCATTCAAGAATATTTGTTTTGTTTCTAATAGTTGGAGAAACACCTGATTTTTCCGTAACATATATTTTTTTTAGACGTGCGAACTCTCTGGTTTGGCGCACGTTTATTCCACCTAGTTGACGCGGCTTCGGTGTTGACGAGGTAAGGTCGTAATCAGCCGGTCTTTAAAGTGGTGGTTGTGTGAAGAGGTAACGGCAGGTGTCACAGTATTTCAGAAAAGAAAATAAACACAACGCAACACTTAATTTGTAGTCACTGTTTATTTTGGTGAAAACGGTATGATACGTCGAGTATTAAAAAGGTACAGATACAAATGATACAATTGTGTACTTTTTGTAGACGGCGATTTTCGGGTGAAATGGTCACGGTGTGTGGTCGGTACGACGGTGTTCGAACGAGAGAGAGAATTGCCGGCGGCCGGTACTCGTATTGCGCGACTTGCCTTCCCGTCCCGCCTTGTGCCTTTGTGGCGCGGTGGGAGAGTTGGCGATGTCGCGCTGTAGCCCGTGGTGGCGGTTGACAAAAACGTAGACCGGCCGCTGCGGTACCTGTACTTTGTACTGGTTGCCGCTGCGTACCGTGTCATACTCCCCTGCCAAACCGCCACACGGGGTACACTTGTACCGGTGTCGGTGTGTCGTTACGGGTCGGGGTGGCTTGTACTACCTCTGGCTTTCGCTTGAGGTAAACTCGCCCGAGCCCGTGGGTTGTTCTAGTCCTGTTTTGGGGACCCTATCGGAGTATAGTACGCCGGGTCGTACGCTATCTCCTCTAGCCCCTCGTACGCCGCGTACCAATCGGCCTCGGATAGGTCGTCCGTGGTCGGTGGTTGGCGTGGCGGCTTGTGGCTGGTGGACTGTTCCGGCTCCTCGGATTTTTGATCCTTGGGCGCCGGTTTGTCTACCTCCATCGGTTCCAGCGGTGTTGGGCCGGTTGGAGGTGCGCTGGCTGCTTCGGGTTCGGAGGTTAGCGCAGGTCGCTTGGCAAGCCGACGCTGTTGGCTTGCCTCGCTTTCCCTTGCCTTCCTCTTTTCCTTTAGCTGTTGGAACTTCCGGCGGTTCCGCGCCTGCTGCGCCTCCGTCCTCACCCTTACCGCCGGGCCTGGGGGTACCCCCGTTGGCCTGGGTACCGGTGTCGGCTCCGCAGGTTTCACGGGGGCAGGTGTTGTGGGGGCAGGTGTCGTTGTCGGTGGTGGTGGCCTCGTCAGCGACGAGGTGCGGCTGCTGGTCGTCGAGGTCGCTCCGCGCGGACGGAGCCTCCGCTCGATATCCGCTGTGCGGTCCGCCCAGCCCCGCTGGTAGATGGCCGGCCGCACTGGATCCTGGAGGAGATGGCGGGTCGACATCCTTGCGACCTGGGCGGCGGTACGCGGCTCGTCCTGACTTCCGGACACCAGCCCCAGCTGCTGGATCAGTGTGGCCACCTGCTGCCACTTCTCCTGCTGCTGTTGTTCGGCCATATTATCTGTAAATGGTGGTTAGTACAGACAAATGTTTATTTACTTTGACCTGTGGGCGCGCGTTTTAGACACGACACATGTAATTTCCGCGGCGGTTGTTGGTCGGTTAGGAAGACTCCCTTACCGACCTGCTTCGCTAGCCTTACCGGTCCCCACCACTTTGGTGCGAACCCGGCATGAAAATCTTTATGTGCCTTAGATAGGTGGTGTGCTTTGTAGTAGACTACGTCGCCCTTGCCGAACTTCACCGGTGTGCCGGTGTTCGTGCTAGGCTTTACCACTACCTTTTTGCCTATAATACGTTTTTCCCGCTCTACCCTCTCTTCCTGTGATTTTTCGATATTTACCGGTGCAATTTTAGATAGCGCCCAATCTCCGGGTCTCTTGCATTCCCTGCCTAGGACAAGGACCGCGGGTGGGTAGCATGTCTGTTCGTTGCACCTGTTCCGTATCGAAAAAAGAATTGAGGGTAGTTTTGTGTCCCAAGATTTATGTTTGCCGTCGACTAGTTGTGCGCGCAAACCTTTTTTTAAATCTTGATTACGGCGTTCGACTGGGTTGGCCCTCGGGTGGTAGACTGGAGTCGTCCAACCCTGTGCCCCCCAGCGTTCTAGTGCGTTTATCATTTCGTTTGACACAAACTGTGGGCCGTTATCACTGAGACACACGCGGGGGTAACCGAAACGCGAAAAGAACTCTCGCTCTAACGTTTCGATTATTGTTTTTGAGGTTGCTGTTCCTAAGGGGTAAGCCTCGGTCCACCTACTAAAACAGTCGGTTGCTACCAGTATGTACGATTTTCCCTTACCGGAACGTGGGTATGGGCCCATTAAATCGACACTGATGACTTCCCATGGTTGCCGGTGGGTTCTTGGTTGCATTGGGTCGGTGGGACGTGAGTTTAGTGGTTTCGTGCACGCACATACGTGGCACGCACCTACATATGACCTGACGTCATTTTTTTGACCTTTCCAATAGTACCGTTGTCGAACCGCCCGGTACGTCTCTTTCCAACCCGGGTGGTTGGATAAGACGTGATCGTGACACCTCCAAATTACATGTTGTATTTTTGTTTTCGGTATCACGACGGGTGTGTGGGGGCCTACGTTTATGCGTAAGAGACCGTCGGAGAAAACATATGTGTTTGTTCCCGATTTTGTGCTCCTAGTGTTTCGCGTTGGTCCGTCCCACTTTTGACCGGCGACTATGTCGCGGATCGCGGCGTCTTCGGACTGCCACTTTCCGAGCGTCGACGCGGTGAGTGGTGTGTCGTCACTGTCGTGGTTATCGAACATGGAGAATATGCGATCCGACTCGGGGTCAACATTGGTTGTCGGCGTTACAGGTGCCCCTACCAATTTTTCCTCGAGTCGATCTTCGTCTACAGGTGTGCCCGGTGCCGGGTCGCGGGATAACAAATCGGGTGCTTCGTTTTGTATTCCCGGGACGTGTACCGTACTAAAATCTAAATTAGCTAGTTGTAGTGACCAACGTGTTAATTTTGAATTTTTGTCTTTAGCCCGTGTCATACTCCCCTGCCAAACCGCCACACGGGGTACACTTGTACTAGTGCCGGTGTGTCGTTACGGGGGTGGCTTGTACTACCTCTGGCTTCCGCTTGAGGTAGACTCGCACGCGCCCGTAGGTGGTGTTTATTCGGGTTTTGGGGACCCTACCGGAGTGTAGTACGTGGGGTCGTACTCCATCTCCGGCAACCCCTCAAACGCCACCAACCAATCTGCCTCGGTTATTCCGTCCGGGGTCCCTGATTGGTTAGGTGGTGTTTGGTCGGTAGACGTTCCCGGCTCCTCGGACTTTCGGTCCTCGGGCGCCGGTTTGTCTACCTCCATCGCTACCGGCGGTATGTGGTCGGTCGGAGGCACGCAGGCTGCTTCCGGGTTTGAGGTTATCGCAGGTTGCTTGGCAAGCCGATGTCGTTGGCTTGCCTCGCTTTCCCTGGCCTTCCTCTTCTCCTTCAGCTGCTGGAACTTTCTGCGGTTCCGCGCCTGCTGTGCTTCCGTCCTCACCCTTACCGGCGGGGCGGGGTGTACCCCCGTTGACCTGGGTACCGGTGTCGGCTCCGCAGGTTTCACGGGGGTGGGTGTTGCGGGGCCAGGTGTCGGGAGGACCGGAGTGGTTGCTGGTGTTGGTGGCCGCGTCAGTGATGGGGTGCGGCTGCTTGGTGCTGACGGTGGTCGCTGTGGCCGCAACCTCCGCTGGATGTCCGCTGTGCGGTCCGCCCAGCCCCGGTTGTAGATGGCCGCCCGCACCGGGTCCTGCAGGAGTTGGCGGGTCGACATCCTCGCGACCTGGGCGGCTGTTCGCGGCTCATCCTGGCCACTGGACACCAGTCCCAGCCGCTGAATTAGGTCGGCCACCTGCTGCCACTTCACCTGTTGTTGTTGGTCGGCCATGTTATCGGAACGTGGGTATGGGCCCATTAAATCGACGCT